CCCTGCCTGGACAGGCTTTTATTCCTTCTCTGGGTGCATTATATAGAGGGTAGTCCTCATTTACTATGTACAGGTTCACTGCCTTTTACAGATAACAAAGGAAAGAATGTTGCTAATTACTTCAAAGAGAAGGAAGTTGCAGACCAAGGGGAAAAGTGGCTGAACTGGTCACACTCCATACTTGGGAGGTTTAGGTCAGATTTTAGGAATTTGCAGTAAGCCCTTGTGCCTCAATTCAGGGTGCGGGAGTTTTAGCAAAAGCAGGTCTCATAGTGGCCTAGGTACACTGCAGGTCTGATTCCCCACGGGAAAACCTATCCGAGGGCATGGTCCTATGTGCCACTCGCTCCCCACTGGTTTTCCACGTGAGGGCTGAGCTACATTTCCACCACACGCAAAACGGTTCCCTACACCGTGTCTGCTGTTGGGCACTTCTGTCCTGTGTCACCTTCCACTGCCCCAGTGGTGTGTCTTACACCCACTCAACAAATATATATTTCTTGAGGACTTCCGACATCCAGGCCTGGAGCTGGAGGCTGGGGACACATTGGTGAACCAGACCAACCTGGTCCCTGTCCTGAGGACAAACAGTAGACAAGGGAGGGACACCAATAATGCCAATGAGAAGCAACCAAACATAGGTGCTGTGGTAGGGACTAGTGGGTGGGCATCTTGTAGAGGGTGGTCAGAGAAGGCCTCCTGAGGAGGAAACACTTAAGCAGAGACCCAAGGGCTAAGGAGGAGCCAGCCACCCCAGAGTTGAGGGAAGAGCTGGAGCCAAGAAGGGCGATATAAGACACACTCCTCAGGGGCCCAGGTGACAAAATCCAAGAGAAAGAGAGGTCACAGAGGAGGCCGTACTGGAATATAGAAAGGGCGTCAGAGATGGAATTTCGAATTCTGGACTCAACCCTGACCCCTCTCTAGCCTTGAGTCCCTCACTGAATTTCTAAAATTCCCACAGTGGCGACCCTAAACACTGTCCCTCCCCCACACTGTACATGCACAGGTGCATTCCAGAACCTCAGCCTGCGATGTTACATAACTGCCCCTTAAATTCCTGGGAGCCCATCTGGCCAGCCCAAACGTTGCACATCCTGATTACATCATGCAGGTTGTTATGTCTCAGGCAGGGCCAAGCACAGAAACACAGAACCCCGTGGCGATCCGCTAGAGCCCACCTGCCGTGTGGGTGTTGACCCCTCACACATTTTCTGAGTACAGCCAACTCCACATGCCAGGCTCTGTGGATTCAGACACGAGTAAGAAAGTCTTTGCTCTCAAGGAACTCACCAGTGACTCGGGGAGGCGGGTGCTGTATGTGAGGGAACCCAGGAGCAAGTTGGGTTTCAGGGAAATCAGCCACAGAGATGGACAGGGCAGTTTCTGGAAGCTCTTGGAGAGCGAGCTAATGAGGCCAGACTTTCCCCCTGGGGCAGTAGAAAAGGAACCCTTTATTCAGGGTTGTGACAGTCAGATTTGTATAGTATGTAGATCTGAGGGGAACAAGCCAGAGGCAGACAGAGGGGGTCAGGGATCCTGTGAATGGGGCGCGCTGTCTGGACCATGTCCAAGTCCAGTTATCTGAAGGATGAAGTGAGATGGTGTAGGGAAGAAATACGGCATTTGGTAAGGGCTCAACTGGCAAAATAAGGGCAAGGATTTAGTGGCTCTCCAGGGTGATTAAGAGCATAGCAGCTGGAGCCAGATTTCCGGAGTTCAAATCCCGGCTCCCAGCTTCCTGGCTGCGGGAGCTTGGGCGAGTGTTGGAGCGTCTCTGGGCCACAGGTTCCCTTCTCGAACACGGAGCTGTTGGTAACGATTTCATGGGGCTGCTGCAAAGGCTGTGTGAGTGACAGTGACTCAAGAGTTTAGACCTGGTTGTTGGTTAAACGAATATAATATAATTGGTAATGCACAAGGGGGAAGGACAGGATTATGGACGAGTCCCACGTTGTCCAGTTTGGATGAGTGGGTGGCAATGCCCCTGGAGTGGGAAGCTTTCACAGCCTCTGTGCAGTGCTTGGTTCAGACAACGACCCCGGCCCCCTGGAGTTCCCGTGGGGGCTGCCCTGAACGGGGAAAGGAGCCCCGCTTCCTAGCGGTGCTTGATTGGGCCAGAGGTGAACACCTGATCCAAGGTAAGCCAATCACAGGCTGTGGCAAAGAGAATAATGCCCCCGCCCCCCAAAGATTATCACCCCCAATTCCTGGAATGTGCGAACATGTTCCCTTACGTGGCAAAAACAGACTTTGCCAATGTGATTAGATCTTGAGGTTAAAAAGAGCGTCCTGGGTTGTTCAGATGGGCCCAGTATAATCGAGATGGGTCCTTGTAAGAGAGAGACAGGAGGGTCATGGGCAGGGAAGAGTGGGCGGGTGGGAGCTCAAAGGAAGCGGGCTGCAGCCTATTATGCACCTTTTCACACTTAGACCTGCTCGAGATGGAGTGTGCCGCGTGGCCTCTATCGGAGGAATACCTAAACTATGCCGCACTGATACAGCCAGGTCCTCCAAGAATGTCAGTTTATGGAGATGCTCAACTTAAAAAGTGGGAAAAAAGATTATGAATACATGATTCTATTTCTATATGTCCAGAATAGGCAAATTCATAGACAGAAAATAGATCAGTGGTTCCTGGGGTAGAAGAAGGGGAGTCTGGGGAGGGAGCACAGGGTTTCTTTGTGGGGGGTTGAAAATGCCCCCACATTACCTGGTGTTAATGGTTACACAACCTTGTGAATGTCAAAAACCATGAATTGTCCATTTTTAAAGGGTGAACTTTATAGTACATAAATCATATCAAGAAAAAAAGTATAATGAATAAAAAGATCGTAATACCTATATTACAATCTTTTGTATTACCTATACAATACCTATATGGTATATATACAATATATACTTGCATATGCTCAGGAATATTATGCTTAATTTTTAAAAACCATACATACACATTGCACTTTCGTCAACTATGTCTCCGCATCCACACAGTAAGAACAAATTCTGGAAGGAAATACGAAGTGCTAACTATGTTCTGTAGGGTACTAGGGTTGTTTGATATCACAAATTTTATACAATAAACATTTTTCAATAATCAGAAAAATCATTTTGGGACAAAAATGGGACTGGGCTGTCTATTGAGGTAACAAACTTCTGGTCACAGGAAATACCCCCCAAAGTCTGAGAGTCATCGGATACGGATATTCACACTCGGAGTGTGACCTGCAGTGTATAGCCCAGGCTTTGGACTAAGATGTTATCATTTTATCATTACTTTTTCACTTATTTTCTATTTTTAAAAAATAATCCATTGTCTCAGTTCTTGATTCTGGTACCAGTCTGTGTGTGGAGGAAATTCGTATTTTACAGTAACAAGAAATCACAACTTAAAGGGTATATTAAGACTCAAAAAGGGAAAGAAAATTAGTTTAAAAGCAAAAGGTACATGCTTATAAGCAGGCAGGAAAAAAATGATGTCGCATCAAACTATTTAAGAAATCTGACTAGAAGACTTGGATCCTCCCTTTCATCTTTATGAAAACTTTAAAATGTGACATTTGAAATACTCTCTGAACGTGTAAATACATACTCATTCCAAAGGTTGTGCACACAGAGGCAGAACATAAATAATTCTTAGGAGGAAAACTGCCATCTTCTTTTTAAACCCAAGTTCAGGGACTGACAGCCACGAGATGGGGAAGGCAGCCAGCTCCTGGGCCTAGCCAGCTTTCCCATGGGGCCGTGGAGCGTGAGCTAGCTCCTCCCACTCCCCCCCCCCCACCAGGCAGAGGCTTTGAGGGCAGTGGGAGAGGAGATGCACCCAGCTATAAAAAACTTCTAAGTTTTATTTCCTTCTAAGGCGTCCTGAGTCACTGGGTGCTCCAGCCCCCAGTGCCCAAAGAAGTGCAGCTCGAATCGGAAATGTCTGTTTTTTTCAAGCCACATGACGTTGTCCCTTGAACTAAATCTCTTTACAGGCCGAGTGGTAGCTTCCTATTTCCGTCTTGTGAGGAGGGTGGAAGTCACTTCATGATCAGTTTCTCTGACCCACGTTCCAGCACTGCATCAGTCATAATAGCAAGCTCACCCTCCCCTCCACCCCCAACATGGAGCTGCCGGGACTTTAAAAAATCCCATTTGTCATCTCAAAGCATACGGCTCTCCCACACTATTTTGCCTCCCACCCTCATTGAGGCTGCAATTTCCACTTAAACACCGAGTGGTCTGAATCCTAGAAAGACACAGGTAAAAGGGACCTAGTCCAATGATTTCCTTTTACCAAGGGGAAAAGTGAGATCCAAAGAAGGTAAGGGACCATGGCTACTGAGGGACAGAGCAAAAAGTAGGTGCCAGGCCTGTCCCCATGGTGGTGTCCCCATCCTTGTAGTCCTAGCTCCTGGATACGAGGGGGTTGTTTCAATGGAATGTCTCAGCCTTATGCCCAAACCAGGATACCCTGTGATTGTGCCTTCTTTTCGGCCCCCTCCCTGCAGCCGAGAAAAGTTCCTTCTGGCAATGGGTGGCAGCCAGAAGGTGGCCTTTTGAGCTAGGGAAGCCTGTCTGGGAAACAGGGTCTGGGAGGAAGGGGAAGGCGTCCACTCCCAGGTTCTAAATGGAGTTGTAACCCACGCCATTCTCCTTGCGACCCTCCTCCTGGGATGGCAGACGTATGTGCTCAGGTAATTTGAAGTCCCATCCTATTTTTAAAGTGTATTTCTTTACGCAATTCCTAAAGAGACTTGGATTAACGCTGAAGTTAAAGGAAAATCAATCTTTTTATGGTGTGCATTTTCTGCGTAAAGCAAGCCTGGATACATGAAGAGGCCAAGAGATTGTGTGAAAATGTCAGTTACACAAACTACTTAACATCAGAGTCAGGCTGAAGTAGGATGTGTCTGTGGTATTTCTGGCCCCTCACCGACCGAGCGGGAGCCCAGGATCTTGTTCACCCAGCAAAGGCATTGAAGGCTACGCAAGCTAAAAACCTACACAGTTCGCAGTTAGAGATGAAAGGCTGCAGAAATGTTTATTGAATACAGTGCCAGGTTTATAAATAAAACTTATTTACAATTTCCATAGAGTTGGTCCCCCATCAGAGAGGTGGTAAAATCTCCAAACAGTTTATCTCAAGATTTACAGAAACGTTCAAGTACATCTCCTTTGCAAATCGCCACGGTGAAGGGTAACTTCAGTAACAAAAGAACTACCACCAATCTTTGCTGCAGACGCATTTAATGAACATTATAATAGATCTGGAGAAAGAACGCACGCTCCACCCATGCCACTAACCTTCTCACTCCAAGGGATCAGACAGCAACAAGTCTCCTACCGGACAACTTCGAGGGATAGAAAAAGAAAATAGTAAGTGCCAGCTGGAGGGATAGATTAAGACACATTCGTGGAATCTAGTCACTGCCAAAAGGATCAATTTAGGATATACAGTAAAAGGATTATTTCAGATATACAATAATTAATTCAAATGTTTAAAATAATGGCGTGAATGAAGAGTGGATGGACCAAATTTACATTCTTTGTTTAGGAAGAGGCGCCCAGCCCGCTGAGGGGCTGTCAGGAGGCTGCCGACGGGCCGCAGCGGTGCTCGGCCTGCTGGACAGCCGCCGTTACAATGTAGTTACAAGTACAGTCAGACATGCATTTAGAAAGAGAATATAAAAATATGTACAGTAGCTAATTTTCAATGTTTTAAGTTGCTGAAAGACATCAATTAAAATATGCAAAAATTCATTTGTCAAAAAATCAGAAAAAGCCTTCCTTGGCAACAGCGCAGTTAAAGCCCATCTGAAATATCAGGATACATTTGCCTTGCTCAACACCTACCCCACACAGATGGAGAACAAAACTATGAAAGTGTTTGCCAAGTACTCAGCAGTTTTTATGGCAAGTCTCAGGCTCAAGCGGGATGCCAGTTAAACTAGTCACTTTATATATATAAATATATACGTATATTTATAGAGCAGTTAGAAGTAGGGGCAAGAGTTTACAGGAAGGTGCTAACCAACTTAAAAAGTACCACCACGACCTTCAGCTTTTTCCTCTCTCAAACTCACACAACTGCGAACCGCTAACCCCTGGGCTGGCCGTCCCCTCAAATGCCAGAGGGAAAAGGCTATCGTGGGCTCGGCTGCACCTCTGCGCCCACCGGGACTCAGCGCTCCCTGGAGGAAAGCTTCTGGTTCCCACGTAGGATTCTGGCCGCGTCAGAACCTGGACTCAAAGACAGTCCTTTAGGAGAGACTGGGGGACCACTACCATGGAGCCCACCCAGCTTCTAAAGACTTGGTTGAAAGGGTAAGATAGAAGGCAGTTTTCAACAAGTCACCCCAACCCCTCTTTGAAAACTACCAAGAGGTCCTTTACCGGACCCGAGACTGGGTCAACAGTCAGGCTATTGGACCTCCATGCAAGAAACATCCAGGCCGGTAACTTGTTCAAACCAGGAGCCCTTGGTCCTCCTACCTCACCAGAACCCCCAAGGTATTCTTAGGTGTTCCTTCCAGATGCAGGAACTTAGGAGAGCCGAACCTGACTCATGAGGTCGACCTCTCTCCTTCCAACCAGAGTCTAAGGACCAGTTGCAGAGGCAGATGGGCAGACTCCTCTCCACTGCTCTGACCCACCCCTCTGGCAGGAAATAGAACAAGCTGCAAAATGCCAGAAAGACAGGGAGTAGGAGAGGGGGAAGCCAAGGGTCTCTATAAATCAGCCCTGAATGCACCCATTTGGCTGCCAAGAGCTTCTCACTGCCTCGCTAGCAGCCTGCCACTGTTCCCTGGCAAATTAAAACCTCCCACACACTCAAAATCCAGATCGCCTTGCTCATAAGATACAGCCAGTTAACACCCTGGAAAATGCACATCCAGCCTCCACCTCAGAGTTCTGCACTAAATGCAACATGCCTTTAAAGGGGCTTTTGTGAAGCAGACCAATCCCACTGCAAAGACCAGTACCAGCATCTGTTTTGGTTACAGGTTTATAATTAGACACAAATATCCTTCTCGGGTGGTGTTTTACTTGCAAGCCGAGGGCTACCATTAGCTCTACTTGGGGGGGAAGAAAAGGCCAAGTCAACTTTTAAAAAAAGAGGGCAAGGTAGGTATAATCATAATTCAAAAGTCATGAATCAAAGGTGCCTGGTAGTGTCTTTTAGGCATGAAGAGACTGGCTTAGAAAAGTGACTACTGCTTCTACCACACACAGCGAGGATTGAATTACAGACACACTAAATTATGTCTCTTGCACAGATGGTCTCAAGTAGTTACATAAAACAGGTAATCAGCAGCACAATTGAGAAGAACCCCTAAATACATGCTTGAGAGAAAGTGGTTTTTTTTTCCTTTAAGAGTTCTACTGCCTGAATAATCATTAGGTTACCGCAATTCACTGCCCCCCTCCCCCCAGGGAAAATACAATAGACCTAAACGTCCATAAACATGACGAAGCAGTCAGTACTCGCTCGGTTTTAGGCAAGGTCTCAGGCTCCGAGGTCGGTGCTGGGATGCTGGGAGGGAAACCCAATGCCGGGCTGAGGCAGTGACAGCTGCACTGGCCTCCCCTCGAACGGCCCTGTCCCCGCTCAGATCTCAGCTTTACAAAGCATGTAACACCACTTTAAGTTAATGGTCTTTTTATTGGAAAAAAAAAAATAAAAAGACTAGCATTTACAACTTGGAATGGACGTAAATTGTAATTTCTCGAACAGCAATGTTGACGGTTGTGCTGAAGTCCACAGCCTACCTCTGCTGGCTCCAAGTCACGGTTCAGAAGGTTTTAAAAACAGAGAGTCCAAAGATGCTCCCTTGGTAAGTTTGTTTTTTAAAAGTTTGTGTGAATGGTGACAGCCTGACACCCGTCTCCCTCTAGTGTAATGCAGACAACGCTAAACCAACACATGTGGGCACGCCACCAAGACGTGTCACTGTCACTGCAGATTGGGGCACATGGAAGTACAAGAGGACCATCCTGCTAGTGGGGCTACGTCTGGACACCTTATCCTTCGCTCGTTTTTCTACACACATCCTGAGGTAAACCAATTTTAAATGTGTTTGCTCTCAGTAAACCTGCTACTATGACAATCTGTACTAACAAACTGACTAGAACCCATTTGAATAGGTATTGAATTTGTTTTTTCATTTTTCGTTTTTAATACAAATGCCTGACTGTGCTCAATTGTCAAGCCGCATGCATGAAAAACCGGCCAGCCCAAACGGTGTATTAATCATTAGCAAATGGAACTGCAAGGGGTCCACTAAGTGCTTCCTTATCGTTAAGGTAGTACAAGTACTTATATTGTAAAACTGATGTGTAGAGCTTGATCTTTAGGGGACAGGACCACCAACCAATACATGCAGATTTTGTGTGTGTGGACAGAAGGTACTTTTGACATTCAGTTTTGCTATATAGAAACAGAATGAGTAAATGATTTTTTTTTTGCAAGAGGTAAGTAAAAGATTCAATTTGATTCTTCTAGAGGGGGGAAAAGTTGAAAGTAGGTCTTCATTTTGCAGTCATCATCTGTACGAATTCTGAAAAGACAAATAATCACAGCTTTCAGTCATCTTCAAGAGCAGCTTTATGAACACATCTCTACTCTGCATGAGAAAGCAGCGGTGACTGTCTAGTGAAGCGATTAACGTGCTGAGATTGTAAAGGGAAAACTACCCAAAACTCAGCTGCAGAAACGTCGTGTGTTACCTTCATAGTTGACTTGTCCGTCTCCATCGATATCTGCTTCTCTGATCATTTCATCTACTTCTTCATCCGTTAGTTTTTCTCCTAGATTTGTCATGACGTGGCGCAGTTCTGCCGCACTGATGTAACCGTTGCCATCCTGCAAACATTCAGCGGTCATTACCACGAGGGGCTTATTGTGACAGGAGGTCTCTGACTAGTTATGCGCTCTCAAGGGGCTGCCAACTCTGCTCTTAGGGACAACTCTCGACTTCCGGTTCCCGCCTCTACCCACGGACACGAGCTCGTCAAAGGCAGAGTGCACAGGAGCTTCTCAAAAGCTAAGAGAAATCCAAAGTAACAAGAAAATTGGCTCAAATGTTTTGTTATTTATTGTGCTTACCCTGACTTGATAATGTTACTGCTTAAGTCGGGATATTTGAAAGTGAGAGTTCAGAGGCTCAGCAGTTAGACTAGGTACGTGTTCTAGGTACAAAGACTGCTGAAGCTTTTCGAACTGAGAGCAAAGCAGCAGTACTTCAACACCATCTGCAATGCAGACCCAGGGTTACCTTGTCGAAGACTCGGAATGCCTCACGGATTTCTTCTTCACTGTCTGTATCTTTCATTTTTCTAGCCATCATAGTCAAGAACTCTGGGAAGTCAATGGTGCCATTCCCTCAAATTAAAAACAAAAAGCTCTGTAAAAGAAGTGCTCCAGCGATACTCCTCTGCAGTAATAATTTTAGAACCACTTTACAGAACAGTAAGCACCTGCTAGGACCAAGTGGCAAATTATTTCGTTAGGGTGGACCCTTTGTGGGTCTAAACTACTGAAGAACTTCACAGGGCAATTTCACATGACTGACGTGACTCAAACTAATAATCGGTGCCTTGGACAGCCTGTAACGATGCGAGGGACAGTGCTCCACAAACCCTCGACAGCCAAAGGGGGTGGCAGAGCTCAGGGAAACGCACCCAGCACCGCGGGCTGCATCTTCCCCTCCCTGGGGAAGCATTCCAGGTTTTCTCCCCTCACCCACCCCCACTCCAGGCAGGGCAATCAAAGGGATCCACTCAGACTGGCTAGTGGGACTGGCCGAGGCCTAGATTTGGGCCCCCGGGATTAAAACAATCAGAAAGGGCACAAACTGACTTAACTATGCCACGGACCATGAACTGTTCGAATGTCTTCTCCAGGGGGCATTTCTCAGCCACCGTATGATAAGTGACCTAATCGTTTCTCCTGACTCCGTATCTTTATTTCCCATTAAGGACAAAACTCAGAAGTGTTCTCACAGCTCAGATCATTAACATTAGGAAACCATGTCAGGAGGAATCTGTTCTGTGGCCAGTATTCCAAACAACTCCTCCTCTAAAACTGAGTTAGATGAACACGCCAAAGACAAACCACACAACTAACAATGTAATGTGAATTAAATGGAAATCAAGTTAAATTAAAAGAAAAGAGCCTTTGGAAATCAAGTTAAATTAAAAGAAAAGAGCCTTAGGTTAAGTTACTCATTTTCACCAGTACCGTTGAATCAAAACGGTAATTTAGAGATCCCTTCAAGTTCTTTGGCCTTCAAAATTTTACAGCATTATTGAAATTTGGGATGATCAGTGTTACTTATTTGGCATGCTCACAGCCAAGCAGAGATGTATGTCCTTAGGCATTATCATATTTATTCACTGTGAATACCGAATGCTGTCACCCGGGATCTCCCCCTTCCCTACCTTGTTCCATTCAATCTTGGGGCACCCATACACTTTGCCAGTCCCTAAGCCCAATGTCTATACAAAATAGGAGGGAGACACCCCATGAGTTCGCAGACAGCTGATCACCTTAGCAAACTAGAGAGAACTACATACAATCTTTTTCCAAAACAGTATTAAGGATGAAAAGTCTTTAGTAGTAGTCTGAATGGGCTGCAACCATTGTTAAAGAATTTAACCAAAACCCCTGCTTCTAAATATATATAACCAGACAAGTGTAACTCAACTTTATGGCCTCTGAAACTCTATTTTTTTTAATGATTATTATCAAGTCAATCATCTAAACAATACTTTTGGTCCAAACTGTTTATTCTTAGCTCACCTTTTGAAAATGTACTATGGTCTACAATAGTATATAGTACATTTACTAGTAAATGTACATGGTTTCCAAAAGTACGTATTTTGGGGGGGGGGTCCCTCAAAAACTCTTTACTGATGGAAGTGAGCAATAAAAGGTCTAATGTCCACTGTTCTAGAATCCAGAGAAGCAGACAACTGACTGGTGACCAACTGCCACCAGGGTCACTGCCTTTCCTTCCTGCTCTGTGCCTCACACATCCTTTCCTTCTAGTAGGTCCGGCAGATCCACTCCCTACAGCCCTCGGCACTCCACCTCCGAGGCTCATGTGATCTTCAACATTCTCTTCAATAAACACACCCACCGCTACACTGTATGGGATTCTATGTTAGTATCTAAGAATGCTCTTCATCCACATTGTTTGGGGGGTTTTCTTCTGTAGGAGACAATAAGCTTTTTAAAAAGGTCTATGGCTATTTACTTTTTGCTTCCCCACAGACTCATGGGCCAGCTGATAAAGACCGAGCTGTAGGTCAGGGCAGGTAGAAAACACCACCGCAGTGATCCATCCAGGAAATATTCTAGATGGTGAGCAGGCAAAGGCAGGCCCACAGTCTTCCGTTGACAATTTGGGTTGTCAACAGCCATAAAGCAGCCACAGAAAGGATCTTTGCACATTTATTTTGCTTTGGGGACCTGAAAACCCATCTCGTAACAGGTCTGAACTTGAATTACACAACACTGGCGCTCATTCAGAGTTCTAAAGCCCTTACCGTCAGCATCCACTTCATTGATCATATCCTGCAATTCAGCTTCTGTTGGGTTCTGACCCAGTGACCTCATGACAGTGCCAAGTTCCTTTGTTGTGATGGTACCATCGCCATCTTTGTCAAATAGGGAGAAGGCTTCCTTGAATTCTGAAAACAAAAGTTTACCTCTTAGAATGAATGTCTTTACCCGGCCACAATACACACCTCCCTGGGGCTTGCCAAAGCAAGCTGTCCGAGGTATGTGAGTTATCAGAAACCGCCCCATCTTTATCTACTGAAATAAAGACCACAATCGTCCTGCTGGGCTGGCCTTCATATATCAGTCCATAAAGCAAACGCTGCTCCTGTTACCCAGCTCCATAAAACCAAAATATTCTCACAGTTTTAAAGAAGGCTAAGTTTGAACACATTTAAGTTAGTCCTAAGTCCAATACGACAAGACTAGTCCATGTGTTCCAAGTCTCTTCCTGTTAAATTTCTACAGCCATAAGAACACCTTGTTTCATAGCAGCATGACGGTTACCAAGATGGACATTCCCAGGTGACCGGTGTGTCCTTTCTACAGGTCATTCAGAATCTGGTTTTATAAGGAAAGCATCTCAAAAAAGTTCTCTAGGAATTATACAACCTAAACTAACACAACTCCCTTCATGATTATTATAATGGTCTTAGCATTCATTTTCACCCATTCCCATTGATTTTGGAATAGCAAGCATGTTTCATGGTGGATTACTAAAAGGCCTGTGGCATAAAAAGTCTAAACTACATTTTGTGAGCCACAGACTCAGTGCAATTGCATTACATGCAAAACCTTGCACGCTGTGAAACAATCAGCTACTCTAGGATGTAACAAATGGACAGTCTCCTAATTCCACTTCCTTTCACGTTATTGCCAAGATACTGGCAAGGACTAACACCTGACCTAAATATTTCTGCTTGTGTTCATTTGTAGAGTCTTAGAAAACTGTTCAGATTATAGGAAAGAGGGGACAGAGCAATCACCGAAACTGACTGGTGCCTAGTTCTGGTCTATGGGAGGCTTTTTGAAGTCATCAACTTACCAGCAATCTGTTCTTCGGTCAGCTGATCAGCCTACGTGGAGAAAGAAATGGTTACAATTCAATCTACAACACTCTGAGGCCAACACTGTGGCTCCAGTTACACTTTTAATAGTGACCTTTCATCGATACCTAAAATACATTAACCGAAAACTTTAGCACTGTCATTTAGAAACTCTTCAGGCTATTTTTTTCAAAAACAAAGGATGACAAGCAAGTGACAATCGCCTTCAAGTTTTCTTTTCTGGGCCTACCGCTGGGCGCACTGAGGTCTAACTAGGAAGGGTCAGTCCATAATTTGAAAAATGGCACCTCTAGTGGCAAAGGGTCCCACAACACAGGCTGCAGCAGCAGGCTCTGAGAAAGAAGAGCGCCACCTACTGCTCCCAGGGCTCCGCAGTCCCCGCTTCCATCCAAGAAGAGACCCAGCCTGACGTTGCCGCCACCGCAGCCCGGATCTCGTCCAGGGGCAGGCTTTTAGCGCACCTTGCGCATTGCTGTGAGCGCTCCAATCTCCAAATTGGCGTTACATAACGGCACTGGGTTGGATTAACAGGCTTTTATATCCATTTTATGAGATACAATTAAGTGGAAAAAATAAATATACCGCAGTGAGTTACCCCACTAACTTCATTTCCATGTAATAAATGCTTTCAATCATTTAAATTAGGTGGTTATTTGAGAGTCTACCATTTACAATGGCTAATGCCTTCTGTTAAATTATCCTGATTCAGAAGCCAAAGGAAAAAACGGAACATCCTATAAATGAACTGTTAGAAAACTGCAAATATTAAGTCCACAAAAAACTACACAATTACGAGACTATGCCCTGCCCCTCTTGGAGAGGTGGAACTTTGCTGCGGGATATTTATCCACCCTAAACATGACATAAGAGCTGCTCATAATAAACACTTGACTAGAGACGGTAATGGCCAGGGAGGTAATTCTCACCAGAACACTGAACCTGTGCCTCCAGCCAGGGGAATTCGAGATCTCAAGGAGAGCTAATATGTATTTTTATTTTAATGAAGGACACCTAATGAAGCCGGTTACAAAATAAGTCCTAATAGAAAGCTGACGACATTTATTCTCTTAAATGAAAACTTTCACAAATAAGAGTGGTATTTCAATATACTGAAAAACTTTTTTTCATATTAGGACCGGGCCTGTTTTCCTCTCTACCCCAGTGATTGTCAAGTAGGTTTTCTTTGTATCAAATGAAGAGACGCGATGATTTATGTAACGCCAGAGCAACCTCTGTCTTGTACAACAGGAAGCGCTGCCACACCTCAAAAGATAAGCTGTCACCCTTACTGGAAAGAAGAGTCCCACCGCTCGGCAAAACTACCGTGTTAGAGGGTTTACTGAGAGCATCAACCTTCCTGGAGCAAAAAAATTGCCTAATGGCGTTAGCCTTAGGGGAAAGGGTGCTCTTAATTTTCAAGGGGGCCATCTTCCCACCCATCCAAGCCAAAAAACGCTATGGGTGATGTCAGCCATGCCCAGGGAGGAAGGGGGCTGTGGGCAATACACTCAGTGAGGCGCACAGGCGCATCTGGCAATCTAGAAGCTACAGAGAAAGCGGAAACGTGGAGGGCATCTCCCTGTAGACTGGAAGTGGCGCCGAGTGGTGAAATGCTGGGGGGGGGGGGGGGGCGGGCTGGGGTGCGGCCTTAAGGGCAAGACGAGATGCAAGGGGACGACCCCAGGCGGAGGGGAGGTGGGGGAGCCAGCCAGTGCGATCTCCCTCTCCCACTCCAGAACCTCGCAGCCAGCAAGGGCCAAGCCCGCCCCACACCTCCCACCCGCTTCAGCTCCCCCAGGCGGCGAGGCCGCCAAGGCGTCGTCTACTCCCGGAGCAGAAACTTTGTGTCTCTAATGGAAACCGAGCCGCGCGCCAGCTCCCTCCTCCCCCCGCCCCCCCCGCCCCAATTAGCGCCAACCCAGCGCCTCCCGCGGGAAAGGGCCTCCGGGTGTACCGGGGCTCCAGCACGCCTTCACTGCTGCCCTGGGTGGGGGGTTGGGGGCTGCAGAGGTGAGAAACAGAGAGACACGAGACCGGCCACACCGCAGGGCCCCACCCGGGTGCAGAGCTGCCTGCCCGCTGCTTCCGCCCTCCGCCCCCCACCCCTCGCCTTCCTGCCCCCACCCCACCCTTCCCCGGCTCCTTCCTTCCCAGCCCACGCCCGCGCCGCGCCCCCCGGGAGGGAGGCGGGAAGAACCGCGGAAAGACGGCGGGGTAGACTGGGAGACGGGGGAGGGGGGCAACAGTGAGGGCGCACCCCATGCCCGGGCTGGAGCAGTGTGCGCCACCCGCCGGCTCCGGCCCATTCATTCTCCCCTGCCCGCTGGACCCGCCACCCCGACCCTAGGAAGAGGCAGGGAGGCGGAGGGGGCTAGAGCCCGGCACCGCCCGGCTCCCCCGCCCCCCGGGGCCCCAACCGAGATGCGGCGCTGCGGGCAGCCCGGGTGCGGCGCGCTGGATGCAGTGGTGCGGGGCTGGGGGAGGGGGTGGATGCGGAAGCCCTGGTGCTGCTGCTGCAAAAGCCCCTGGAAGACCAAAATTCAGAGGATCCCTGGCCGACGAAAGGGAGATGCAAATCCAAAATGTATCCTTTTTAACCGCAACTGCTGCGTAATACCCGGAAGGGGGGGAAGCCCACCAAAAAAGAAATTCCGCAAAAAAAAAACAACAAAAAACAGGCTCAACTAAAAATTTGTTAAGAAACGGGCAGGCAGCTGCTACGCCGGCATTTGTCATTCCCAACCTACCATGGTGCGAACAGAGGAAGAGCAGAGGGATCGAGAGTGGCTGCACCAGCCTAGGGGCTGTGACCGCGGGGCTGCCTCCGCTGCTGTTGCTACTGCTGCTGCTGAGGCGCGGTGTGCGCTGAGCGCTGTGCCGCCGCCGCTGTACCGCCGCTGCGCCGCCGCCCGACTGCGAGTAACGGCGCTGCGTCCGCGAGACTCCCAGCACAAATGCCGAAGTGCGACCCTGCGCTCTGTGTCATATATATACGGCGCTCCGTATCCCTCCGCCGCGGCCGCCGACGACTCGCTCAGAACAGCAGTCTAGCTCACCGCGGCGCTGCGAAGGCCGGGCCTTGTATGTTTGGCCCCGCCCCCGGCGCTCCCGGCCTCCCGCCCCGCCACCCTACCCCCCTCACCCCCCTGCGAGTCTGCCACAGTCGGCCAGAGCTAGAGACCCTCGCGCCAAGCGCGGCAGAGGTCGCCACTTTCAGGGGCAGGCTCAGTGCGGGCCGGGGCCAGGACAGAGCGCTTTTACAGTTTCGACCTGAGATGGCCCGGGCACCGTAAGCCGCCGCCCCCCACCCCAACCCCAACCCCACCCCACCTGTGAGCACGCCTCCCCTTCGGCTCACAGCTCCTACCGCGTCGCTGGGGCACCGAGTCCTGGGCTGGGGCTGCTACAGGGAGTTGGGGACTGGACAGAGAAACAGACCGCACGCCCGCCGGGAACACGGGTCTGGAAGCCGCAAAGCAGTTTGCCTCGTGCAAGACACTAGTTGGACGGCTTTCTTCTCAAAATCTGAAACAATATCTGAGACAAATATGCTCAATTACTAAACCTGTCATGTTCACATACTTAGCCAATCTTATTTTAATGTGTTTACGTTTCCAGTGATTTTTTTTTGTATGCTTGAATAATATCACTCCCCTACTGTTTGTTCTCTTTTTCTTATGGAAAATACTATTATTCATCCTGACTTCAGTCTTACTAAAATTAATGTACCTGTACATCTTCTATAGAACCTAAAACCAATGCTTTTGATTATTTTTCTTGATTTTCCTCGTTCTGGGAAGGATCAGATATTTCTTCACACATCCAGAGAAACAAAAAAAGAGCAAATACTTAGAATCCCTCAGATTATAGTTGGAACAACACAGCTAATTGACCCTGCTATGGAGCTAGATCATATTTAACCTACAATCTTGATAACATTTTAAGTAGCATTTTAATCTTTAAATTTACTAGTGTTTTTCATTTTTCCCCCCGTAAACTAGAAAAAAGGACAATTCCAGCTATTGATTTGAAGCCCCAAACTTGTAAAAAGAAAGAAGAGACCTTGACAAAAGGAAAACACTGTAGTTTCTTTTCTTGCCAAGGCGGAACACAATTTCATCTTTTGTGTACAGGGCCTGGGCAACGGTTGCAAATTATCATTTGCTTACTCTTTCAGAGAATGTGGCAAACCGTGTGATTGACAAGCTCTGCTAGAAAGGGCCTTGCTTGGTTATGTTTGTCGCTGGCTTCGACAAAGTCTGCAGAAAGATGTTTGAGAAGAATGGAAAGTATTCAGGCACATCGCAGATGCCGCAGGACTTCGAGGGGGACCTTAGGCAATCACCTTTGGAGTTCTTACTTTTGTGTTCCATCTAGAATGCCGCAGAAAGGGTGCACCTGCTGTTCAATAGAGGCTGCAGGAGCAAGCCTGGGACGCTTCCCTCTGCAGATTAGAGAGACATTATTCAGCTCACAAGTCACCATCATCATCATCACCAGTCTGTGCTCATGGAGGCAAACCCGAGTAGGAATAAAGTGTATGTATTAATGGGAGAGTTGGAAATAGGAAGATAGAGGAAAGGGGACTAATACAAAGTCAATTTAAAGGGCATTAAATAATCCAGTGAGTTACAGTGTAAATGGCCAAACACATCATTAAAACTGCTTCATTTCTAAAGGCATTCGTTTCTTTTGTCAGGTTCCTCACGGAATACATTGTATGAGTAGGAGGAAATAATTGCCTAGAAATGAGATGTGTTCTATTATTAAGGATTCATTAGTTTCTAATATTCTTTCATTCCTTATTATTTTGGTTAAATTGCTCCAATCTATGGTTTTGAAAACCAAGCATTCTCTGAAATAATATTTCTCCCTCTGTTATTTAACCTGTTTCACCCAGATAATTTTCCATGACTCTATTTGCTAAAAACTTCATTTTGGATCATTTTACTTGTTACAGTGAAATTCATTATTCTGATTCTTCATAATTAGCCCCTAAAGTTGTCTTACGGTAATTTTTTAATGTATCAAATCACATCTTAGGCCCTGGCAGGGCATCTCAGTTGGTTAGAACTTTGTCCCAGTAGGCCACGGTCGCTAGTTTGATCCCCGGTCAGGGCACATACAAGAAGCAACCAATGAATGCGTAAGTAAGGGGAACAACAAATAATCTCTCCCTCTCTTTTTTTTTCCTCTCTCTCCCCCCAACCCAGTCCGCACCCCCTTCCTCTCCCTCTCTAAAAAAATAAATAAAAATTTAAAATCACATTTTAGCTTTGAAGTCTATTGGGTTTCTAATGAGGTCATACTTTATTCCGTTTTATGGCTACGTCGACACACGGAAACATAAGAATGTCAAGTGACTTGCCCATGATCTTACCATGAGTCAGGGTGGAGCATAAAAATAGAGCCTGAGCCCTTGTTCAGGGCTCTAATCTTAGATTACATGTTACTGAAATTTTTAAACATACAATGTGCAGGGTTTGCCTACTTCATGAAGCAGATTCTTCTGACGACGTAGAGGACCACAGGGTTTTTTTTTCACTAAGGTTAAGTCCAGGTGACCCTGGCTAGCACAGGGTACAGTCGGAACTGCGTGGGCAGGCTCAGATGTGGATTTTTTTCAGAAGTGCCTGCACTGTTGTAGTCCACGGAAACGGAGGGCCAACCAACTATGTGCATCCTTCTGCGCTGTTTTTACATGGGCAACTTGAGCATCCCTGGATTTTGGTGTCCACGGGGCTGCAGAAAGCCCTGGAACCAATCCCTCATAGATTCCAAGGGACGACTTAAGTTTCGGGTGCGTAAGAAGTCATACTTAGATTTTCAACTTTCCAGGAGGCTGGCGCCCCTGATCCCCACATTGTTCAAGGGTCAGCTGTACAATAGGCTCCCCTTATCTACACTTTCATTTTCTGAGGTTTCAATTACAGTTAACTGCAGCCCAAAAATCTTAAATAGAAAATTCCAGAAATAAACTATTTACAGGTCTAAAATTGCCTACGGAAATCTTCAGAGTCCTGCTCTGTCCTGGCTGGGATGTGAGTCATCCTTTCGTCCAGCATCTCCATGCTGTAGGTTAGTCACTCGATAGCTGTCCGGGTTATCAGAGACTTGCCTTATCAGCCTCTGTGTGCAAGCAGCCCTCATTTTACTGAATAATGGCCCCAAAGTGTAATAGTAGTGACGCTGGCAATTCAGATGTGCCACAGAGAGGCTGTGAAGTGCCTCCTTTATGTGAAAAGATGCGTATACACAGGAGAAAGTGAGGTATATATACGTTCTGCATTCTCTGTGGTTTCACACATCCACTGGGGGTCTTGGAACCTAATACCATCAGATATGGGGGGACTGCTTTAGCTCCCTGGAAGTGAATAAACCTCCTACTTTATGAAGCGATCTGCAATCAGGAAAATAAGTCACGTTATTGTGATACCATAATTTACCGAGAACCAAGTCTATAGACATGTCATGTTATTGAGAGAAACCGGTTATTATTGTTATTTAAATAAAATAATGTCAAATCGAACAGGAGTAGAAAGAATGTGGCCCCAATCCAGGAATCTCAGGTTTGAATACCATTTCTGTTACTAACCAGACCACTCCAACCCTCTGAGTCTGACAGAAAGAACGCAAATGCAATCATTATACATACTCATGGGTAAAACCAGAAGGTGAAATTTAATCTATAAATTCCTTCCAGCTGTAAAACCCTGTGCCTAAGATGATAACATATATGAGTATAAAATGCATGTGTCACATGTATGTCCTATACCTGTGCATGGTCACGAATATACATATATTGAAGGTGGAGAGGAGAAGCGGAAATAGTTTACAAACGAAAACAGCGCTTGCTGGGCACTGACTGTGACCAGGCGCTGTGTTCAATGCATTATTCCATCCCTCCTGGCCTGTGAGGCAGGCCGCGGTCATGCTCACGTGGAACCTGAGGCACTGGGGGCCCAGTGACCTGCCTAATGTAAGTGCTGGAACCCAAAACTTTAGCTCACAGGACCAAGCACATAAGAATCACACTATGTTTCCTATTCTTTAATATAACTCACTTTAAATTTAATGTTTCCTTTGGGGAATAAAAAGATTAAAATTTGGTTTTAAAGAGATACTTCTTACCCAATGATTTAAAATTAAAATACGATCACAGAAATGCAGTTATAGATCTCTCTTGCACACAAGGAGTAAGAGCCTTTGTGAAAGGAAACGCAAGCAAAACGCAGGCTTCGTGATGCTTTCTAGGCGAAGGACATTTTTAACTCTGCAGATGAGGCCTACACCAGCCCCCGCTCCCTCCTCTCCACCCCACAGTCCAATGGCACCTTGAAAATCATCACCCTTCAGATTCTCAGTCTCACCAGTCAACTCCAACAGCTGAAAGAGATGCTTGCAGTTTGTGTGTGGATTTACATTTCTTCCAGTCTTATACAGGATTATTATAAAAGCCTTACTATCTCTATCGACAGCAAAATACCTCATTAGTTTTCCATCTAACATTTCGCTATTATCTTTTTTTTTTTGCTATTATCATGTATGAATGACTCATAGAGGTAAAGATGGGAAGGAGAATTCTAACATTACATTTAAATTTGAAGATATGTTACCATCAGAACATAACAAACATTAGGCCATGAATTCATACCATGAAAAAAACAAATTTTAGCTCATAGGGTGCCTATTAGTGTCCCAAATATTAAGGGAATCACAACCAGACTGCATGTTCTGCTACGTGTTCGTTTGCAATGTTCTTCAGTGTATGAGCGAATGGTCTAAAGTCACAAGGTGAAGTGCGATTTCAAACAGCGTCATTCACCTTGTCTGTGTGCCCAGTTCTTTCTTCTTTTTCTAAACGCTTTCCTTTGTGCAGTAGAGGACACCTCCTACCCTCCATGCACAGAGCTTGTGCTTGTTTTGCCAGTAGCTGTGGTGATGGATTTGCACTAGTCCCTCTCTGGCCTGGTCCACCCTTGTGACCAAGGCCATGAATATGCAACACAGCAAGGGGTCAGGGACAGAGCACACAGAG